AATAATAAAAAAGAAGTAGATGGCTAATCCTGTTTCTTAGTCTGTCTTGAGGGCTCTACTAAAACCTGTCCATTATGGGTAACCTTATGGCATTGACACATCAGTGGCACAGCTTTCATTACCATAGCAACTCACCTTAGCAAATACCTTAGAGATATATATAACAATAATCCCAAAATATTTAGAAATGACAGACTTTGCTGCAAACTCTGTTTCTTTTCAAAACCCTTGAAATTGATTTTTAAAATGAAGTTATTTTTAGTGCATGTCTTTCTTGTCGTCATAAAGGAATACTGTCTTCAAACTACAGAATAATCACAACAAAGAAGTAAAAACAAAACAAAAACCAAAAACCTTTCAAACCAAAGAGGTTGTAAGGTCAAAGAGAAGTTAATGAAAATTTTCTCCTTTTAAAGATCCTTCCCAAAAATATTAACTATACTTTAGGAAGAGAGCCTGTTTGAGTCTTGGAATATCCTGGGGAAGGAAAAAAAAATCCAGAAAGAACCTTGTCTCTGAAAAATGTATAAATAATTAAACTTGCCAGTCTTAAAAACCTGATTCATTCTGGAGAGGATTAAACCAAGCAACTCTTTGGAGGCAAGGATTCTGGGGCTTCATCTGACATACTTTGGGCATGTTGCAAGGAGGGATAGGTCCTTGGAAAGGTACATCATGCTTGGGAGGTTGGAGGGACGGCACAAGAGGGGAAGACCCTCTATGAGATGGATTGATTCAGTGACTGAGGTAATCGAGATGGGTGTGTCGGAGGCAGTGCGATTGGCACAGGATAGAGCAGGGTTTAGGGCTGTTGTACATAGGGTTGCTATGAGACTCGACGGCACATAACAACAACAACAGCCAGTCTCAAATAGAACAAAAGAAGTATATTAAAAAATGATTACACATAATAATGTGTAATATTTTTATTCTATTACACATAATAATGAAACAAACATGAGTACACAGGTGTTCATTACAATACTACTCACAGTACCTAACAAGTGGAAGTAATCAACAGATGGCTGGATAACCAATGTAGTCTGCTCATGTGATGGAATATTATTCAGCCCTAAAAGGAATGAGATTCTGATACTGCTATACAACATGAATGGGCCTTGAAAACATTATGCAGAATGAAATAAGACAATTGTAAAAGAAAAAATGTCATAGGACCCACTGACACAAAACACCTGACACGGGCAAATGCATACAGACTTAAATTTATTAGTGGAAAGGAGAGGCAGATGTGATGGAGAAGAAAAAAATGAATTTACTGCTCAGGTGACTCTGAGTTTCAGGAAAAAGGGCCAAGTTTGGAGAAGAGTGGTGGTCGTGCTCGTATAGCACGGTGAATGCAATTAATAGCCTTGCACTGTGCACATGGAACAACTGAGATTTGGCAACTGTATGTAAATACTTGTGTATATATTCATATAAAATTATATATAGCAATGTATATTTTGCCAAAAGTAAACAAAAGCAAAACCAACCATTAAAAAGTAAGTTCTCTCGCAGCATGAAAGTAAAGAAGTGGGATAGTCGTCTCTAGGTAACGTTCTCTGGCAGCCAGAAGTGCTTTTCTTGGGTTTGATTTTTTTTTTTTTTTAAATCAGAGTTTTCTGTTACAATTTTTTGTAAGAATAAGAAGACTGACCTATATATCCAACCTTCATCTGTGGACCATACAGGCACTACATTTTTAAAAGTTTAAAAGAATTTTTAAGTCTCTAAATCAATTATTAAAAACAAACTTTATGTAAATATTCTGGATTCGCTTTTAAGGGCCTCATTTAAAAATGGTACTGGCGATTTTACTCCATGGATTTATTAATTAGGAAAGTGGGGGCTCTAACTTCCATCAAGCACACTGGAAAGGAACAATCTTTGGCCATTTACACATTTCTCTCTCTCTCTGTTACTTGCCATCACTTTCAGCACCTACCAGTTACAAGCATATCAAGACAAGCTTCCTCTAAGAACAATCGAATATGAATGAAGAACAATGTATAGCAATGATTATACAAAAAATAATAATAAAAAGGATTTTTATGTAGAAAAAACCCAAACCTCAATAAAATGTTTATTAATTTCCTATAGATGCCAGAATTCAACATTTCTTGATGTATTCTTTTTTTTTTTTAATTTAGGTTGTTTATTTTTCATTTCAATGAACATCTACAGAGATTTTGGGATTCCATTCATTCATTGTTGCACCTTTCTCCCTGCACATTCTTTTTAATGCTCATGATAAAAGGTGAATGATTACTTTGTCTTTTAGAATTATCTTCTGTGGACAGAGAAAAATTTATACTACAACTTAAATTCAGCTCTAAATTAGCATTAAGACCACGTCCTTGCTCATATTAGCCTCTCTTAGAACCCCTTTGGAAAGCTGTGAAGATGACCTTGTGCTTTGCAAAACTCTGAAAAACTCAGAATGCCTTTTTATCAGAGGATCTCCCTGATGCTAATATCATTTTCATAGGCACAGGCTCTCTTCACGTCATAGAAGTTTATCTGCATTTAATGCAACTATGTTATGATCTTCTCCAACTTATGACAAATATACAAATGCTTCATTCCTGCCCCCTTCCCCATAAAAATGTCCCAGCCTGCTTTTTAAAGCAGTAACTGAGCCTGCGAGTTTACGGAGCTGATGCATACAGAGCTATTTTTCTGGCGAACATTTGATGGTCGGTACAGTTAGTTCCCAAACATTTCGGCACACCAAGGTTACATATGGGATTCTTTTAAGTGAATCCTCATGTTTCTATAACCTGATAAAGCACTTCTAATCCCTTGCAGCCACTTTTTATGAAAGTACTTTGTGTGCTGATGACGAGTTCAGAAATTCAGAGCAGTGTTAGGTGAAGCGGTATTATCCTTCCATCAGCACACGTGCCTTCTTTCAATAAAAGAATTGGTGACTCCTCGGGAGGGAAAAAAAACGTATTGTTTATGGTTTGTATGCCCAAACGTGAACATACTTGCCCGCTGCTTAGGCTTTTGTGATTTGCATGATCTGATACAGGGACCGTTTGTGTGTCAGATGGGTTTTTTTTTGTCATATTTTGGAGAAATCTGGGATGGCCTTGGGATGATCCCTCTCACCCCAGCTGCTTAGTTCTAAATTGTATTTAATAACAGTTTGTAAAATCAGCACATCTCCTGGGCGCTCTCCTGTGGGCTACAAGTGTTTAAACAGACAAAGACCTAGATGGAGCTGTTAGATCAGTTTCACAGAAAGGGAATTCAGTAGACGTTGGGGAGTAACTACTGAACTGCACGGTGGTACGGCTATGACCTTTATTAAAATCACCGAATTCCTAGAAAATTATCACTCATTTGTTGTCTTACATCTCATGGCATAGCATTCCCCTCACCACCCCCAATTCACTCCACCCTAAGAGCATCCATACAATTGCTGAATGAAAAGCAATGTTTCCATTTGCAGATCATGTGCTTTTACTGAGTTGTTAGTCAGTGTTGAAAGGATTTGCTGAAATATGTTTCCCAATTTAGGCCTGGGGTGTGACATGTTCCGTGTGATGTGAAGTTGGTAACTTGTCATGTCTGTTCGGATTTCAAGTGTATCTTGCCTTGTCTATGGCAAGGGCCAGCCTGCGTATGTTGGAGATGCACCCGGCTGCAGCTTCCTGGAGCTCCTGGTCATTGGACCCAATCATGTCTAGCAGGAGCTGTAACAGAGGAGGAGGGAGGCAAGAATCCAATGTTAGCCGAAAGGCACATTTTAGCTGTGAAAACGATTTCAAATATTAAACGCTTTTAAAGTCACACAAAAGTAGAAGGACATTCCATTTGTTACTGTTGTTAGGTGTCATCGAGTCCACATACAACTCACAGCAACACTGTGAACAGCAGATCTGGAATTTGCCCTGTTCTGTGCCATCCTCAGGCTAATGCTAAGAGAAATGAAATATAAGCTAACTACTACATGCAGAAAATTTTCATGAGATTCTCTGTCATTTTCTGGAGCCAAGCAAGGCTCATTATTTTTCTCTCTTTGACTATCTAACTACTATGGATTTTGCCTCTGAAATGTCAAATCCTTTCTGGCTTTCCATCTTATATATTATGCCTAGACAAGTAGCACAGGATCCCCCGGTGGCACAATGATTAAGTGCTTGACTGGTAACTGAAAGGTTGGTACTTCAAACCCATCAGCCTCTCTGTAGGAGAAAGATGCGGCAGACTGCTTCTGTAAAGATCCCAGCTTGGCAACCCCAAGGGAAGTTCTACTCTGTCCTACAGAATCATTCTTTCCTACCTTTATTCTCAGCTCTGGTGATGCAGTCTGCAGCAAGTTTCACTGCTAATCCACAGCCCTCATTCCTTATCTATCGTCGTTTGAATCCACCAGTGGCTCTTTGGGACAAAGATGGGAAGTCTCTTCCCTTTATTGTTTGCAGTCTTGAAAATGAGATAGAGGATTGCTATGAGTCAGAACTGACTCACCAGCAGTGAGTTTGAGTTTTTCTAACCAATCTACAAACCTACTTGCATGTTAGTAATTTTCCTCCTCCTGTCTTCCTATTATAAGCAAGTTCTCCCTCTTCCTATCCAAGGCCACCTGTTCTACTTCTATTGTTCATCCAAACCTTTCCTTATTAGCACATTTGACAGCCAAGTCTTTCCTTTCTTGTTGCTATATCTTTACATTCTCCGTGTCTACTGATTCTTTTCTATCTGTATTTAAATGAAAAATCCCATCTTTTTTATAAAAAACAACCCCACACCCTACTTTGACTCTTCTTCCTTTTATAGCTAAATATCTTGAAATAATTGTCTAGACTCACTTCAGTCCTACATTCTGTGAAGCACACTGGAGACTGCTTTCTGCCTTCTGCTCTCCACTGACACAGCTTTCAGTAACTCCATGTGGATAACAATGATGTTAATTGCTGCAGGGTCAATTCTTACTTGGGGCAACCCTGTGTGTGCAGAGCAGAACTGCTCTGTAGGGTTTTCCAGGGTTTTATACACAGAATGCAAGGCCTTATCTTCTCGATGGTTTCTAGGTAGGTGAGCTCTCACCCTACCTTCAGGTCAGGTACTTAACTATTGGTGCCACTCAGGACTCCTTGCTACGGATAAGTGAGCCCTCATGTTACTTGACTCCTCTGTGGAATCTGATATATTGATTACTTTTCCCCCCTTTAAACTGATTCTGCTCTTGGTTTCTTACATCACACTCTCCTGACTTTCCTTCTTCTGTGCCCTTTCTGTGCCATCTTCTTGGTCTTTATTGATAGTACGTACTTTATTCTTCAAATCTCAAAGTGTCTTCACAAATTCCTTTTTTGTTTTGACTCTGTTCTGTCTCCCTAGATGATTTGTTTCACAGTCTGGCTTCAAAATACCATCCAAATGGAACCATCTTCTAGAGTTACATCCCTACTTTAGAACATTCTTTTGAATGGCATGCTTGATGTTCAGTACTTCTTAGGCATCTCCACTTTGAACTCTTTCTAAACCCTCTCAGTCTACCACCATTATTTTCTGCCTCCTATTCCAAAATAGATGACTCAGTTCATGAGTCACCTTGTTGATTCCATTATTTTTATAAATACCCATTAAAACTCTCCAGATGAAATCCATTTAAATAGAGAATATTTATTGTTAGGTTAATTTTGTTACTACAACCAAGGCATTCCAATAAGTCCCGTCAGTTACCTGCATAACTCCCTGGGTCCTGAATTACAAAGCACCTGATCTGATTACATACTATAAACTTGAATTCTGCAAGCAATGGAATTCAGAGGTAATCTGGTTTCTAACTGCCCTACGAGGAAAATATATTGCTAGCTTTTGGTGGCATAATTCCACTTAACATCTTCTTCATAGGACAAACCTGTGTTCTGTGTGATCTCTCATCTCTTTAATAGTTTGAGGTTTTTTTTATTATTGTGTTTTATATCTGGGAAGAGGTAGAATAGAGGATTAACTCCAACCAGCTGGATAAATAACTGAACACTTGCTTTATCCTTTTTTTTTCTTTTTCTTTCTTTCTTTTTTTTTTGGCTGCTTCTAGGGGAAAAAACCCAAATCCAAAACCAAACCCAATCCCACTTCAGCCAATTACTTCTGACTTATAGAGCAGCCCTGAAGAATAGAGTAGACCTGCCCAATAGGATTTCTAAGGTTATAAATCTTAATGGGAAAAGATCACCTCATCTTTTTCCTGCTGAGGGGTTTGTGGATCCATACTGTTGACCTTTTGGTTAGAAGCTGGATACTGTAAACCCAGTGTCTCTAGAATTTCGTTTCTAGGAAAGGTAGTGTCGTTAAGTGCTTTCAAGTCACAATTGACTCTTAATGGACCCTCCCGTGGGTTTTCAGAGGCAGGGAATCTCATGAGAGGAGAATGCCCATATTCGCCCCATGAAGCTACTGGTGAATTTGAACTATGTGCCTTTGCTTTGGCACCACAGCTCATTACTGGTAGGCCACCAGAGCTCTCTGACTGGCCAAGTGTGTGATGCAAATACATTCTAGATTGGGGTCTCAAGTCTCTCACTTACTAGGCAAGTCACTGAACTATTTAACCCTTAAACCTCATACCTTTAGTGGGATTCACCTGCCTCTCAGGGGCATTGCCAGAGAATTATCAGACCCATTGCTGATGAGTTTATATGGCTTATAGCAACCCTCCATTGGGTTTCCAAAGTTGTAAAGCATTATGTGAGGAGACTGCCCAACTCCATTCTGCAGAGTAATTTGACAGTTGACATTTTAGCCATGTTGTTTTTGTTGTGTACCCTCGAACTGACCTATAGCTGACCCTCCAGCAGGTTTTCAGAGGCAGTTAATCACACGGGAGGAGACTGCCCATCCTTCTCCTGTGGAGCAGCGAGTAGCCTTGAACTGCATGCCTTTGGGATGGCAGCATAGCTTCTTGCCACTAGGCCATCAGCCATACGACATATAAAAACACACTGTGCCACTTGAGCTTCTAAGTGAGATAATATACACGTCTTTAATAAATGTACAAACATCTGTGTTCACAGTGTCTTCCTCCTTGCATCCTTGTATCTTCCCTTCTCGTCCTTGGTCAGGTTGTTATTGTGCGTTCTATGATTCCAAGAATGAATGCATGACACAGAGGGGAAACTGGAGCAGCACCGGCTGGGAGAATTTACACTGGAAAGGGCAGAGGATTCCTTATAAGAGAGAAGAAAACAACAGATGTGGAAGAAGAAACAAAAGACCTCCCACCCTGTTCTGAAGAGAAAGTAGGAGAGCTTGGAGTTGGGGTGTTGTTTTAGGAGCAATTCTAGGGTGAGAGAGGTATCCTGACTATTAGAAAGATGATAGATCCTTTAAAGATGTTTATTCGCTTATGTTTGCACTATTTTGAAGAGAGAGTGGAACTAGGATTAACATTTCTTTCAATTGCTGTTGGGCTGCCAGGCTTTTATTTCTTTGACTATATTTCCCTGTCAAGACTGGACCATGAGGTAGTTTCGCTTGGTACTGGTGATGCATTTAAATCATGCAGGACAGTGCCCAGTACAAAGTAAGTGCTCGATCAACGGTCTTTATAATCGTGGTGATTATTTTGCCAGTTCTGAAGTCTGGTTCTAGCTTTTATGAGCTGGAGGCCTGCCTTGGTTAGTTTGGGAGGAATGAGGAAGAAGCACATTTGGCCCTGGGTCAGTCTCGCTCCTGACAACTCTTCCTCCAGGCTCCACCTTGCTTCTAGTTCCCTCGTCTGTGTTGATTCCCTGAGCTCCAGCTGTTGCTGCTACCTTGGATAGGAAGCCCTTGACTGGGAATCTGACTTATGCTCATATGCTTTCAGATCTGGTTGTTGCCCCATGGTCTTCAGCCTGGCTTTCTGAGATTCATTTGTATTTATTCCATGACCCCTGATACCGCTTACATAATTCATATTGTGTCAACTGATGAACTATGGGTGGGAAAATGCTTTAGTCATGATGTTTGGAATGAAGTTGGCACGGTGTTTTACAGAGGGTCCACAACAGACTGGTGACTCCAGGAATCATTCTGATAAGAGTTGTTTAAGAGAGCCCACCACTGTTGATTCTGACTCAGCGACCTTCCACTGAGTTCTGGTGTGGTAAATCTTTATGGGAGGAGAGACTGCCTGTCTTTCTCCAGTGAAGCAGCTGATACAAACAGCTGACCTTTTGTTTAGCAGCTTGATATAGTATGCACTATGCTACTAGGGCACATATTTAAGAGACTTATTGTTGTATTAAATCGAGGTAGGACTGACCCATAGCTGACCCTCCTGCATGTTTTCAGAGGCAATTAATCACACAGGAGGAGACTGCCCACCCTTCTCACGCAGAGCAGCTGGTGGAATCGAATTGTGTGCCCTCGGGATTGCAGCATCGACTCTTGCCATTAGGCCACCAGAGCATCCATTTAAGAAGGTTGCTATTATGTATTCACCTTGTTCTATTAAAATGTTTCCTTCCTAGTGATGTTTTATAGTGATTCAACACCATAAAGGATATTCCCATTACCTGACTAACTTCTAATCCTAAATGGATTAAGAGAATTACTATCCTTTGGGGAATTTATTTTGCCCAAGTTTCTTGAATTAACTAATGAAGCTTTGCTTTCTATCTCATGGCAGTTAGTAAGAACTTGCCCAATGGTATCCAACACACCACTACGTTAAAATGGGACCTTCTAAAGATTAAATCCC